ATATATATATATACGGCATAACACATACAGTGGATACATTTTCACTACTTATGAGTTTTAAACGATTGTCTGTTAAAATCGTCATGCAAGGTTCTGTTTCTTTTGTTGTAAGAGAAGTTTGTAAGGGTTTCAGACAGGTCAGGAAGCAGATGATCAAACGTCATGTGATAGTCATGCATAGATCCCGTGTGGCAGGCCTGAGGGTGTGATTAAATTACTCGTCCTCTTCCTGTTGGATGTAGTAGTTCATTCATTGGCGATCACGACGTATCTATATGTCATAGTCCTGATACAAAAGATCTGTGTTATCTCTTGATTAGATTAGTTCGAAGCCTCATGATGAGTTGATGCAGTGGCTTATCAGTGTCCTGTTCATGATAGAAATCCCTACAATGCATAGAGTCTGCTGATCTCGACCGTTTAGTAACTGTGGTCTTTTTCTTAGATGTTCTAGAGGCAACCGTTTGGGGTCTTTTAGAACTTTTGTCACCATCCTCAGTCCATTGACTACTGCTGTTTGGGTTTTCTGCCTGTTTTGCTTTTTATCCTGGGCCTTGGGATGGCAAAAAATGAAAAAAAATAATCTGTTTGTTTGCTTCTTTTATCCTGTTCACTACCATCCTCCACATCATCCTCGCCACCTTCATCCAAGGAGACAGAGCCAAGTAGTGATTCCGTATCCCTCTGTTCTTTTTCTGTAATAGTGCAAGTTGAGTCTATACAGTTAAGAGAGCTCCTTTGTCTTATTGTTTTGAGAAGTCTGCCTCTGTATGAGCCTTGGTGAACTGGTGTAGAAACGCAAAGGCTACCTGATGTAGCATAAATAGTCCCAGTTGACTCAGAACTTTCTTTCTGTTGGCGTTGTCTGTCTGAACCTGCCAGGTACTCACTTTCTGTCTCAAGTCCACTGTCTTCATGAAATAGAGCAGAGTCTTCTGGGCCAGGTTTTTTCTGTGATGCTGCCTCAATCCGAGACAGCAGCCGCATTAATCTAGATTCTGATGCACGTTTTGTCCTGAGCTTCTCATCTAGAATTTCAGTAATGGAGGAAAAGTAATCTACTGCCTCCTCAAGCGCAGTATCCCCAATTCCACACACTGATTGACCTACCTGACACATCCTCTGTACGGTGTACTGAAGGAGTTGTTGTAGTAGGTCTGGTGGGGGCTCACTGCAGGTGGGAGAGGTCACATGTTTTGCTGAGTTGGATGAAGAGGAATTCTTTTTTTGCAAGGCCAAGCCAGATGCTCTCCATTACCTTTTAACATAATCTCCCCCTCTTCGACTATTTCGTGCAGCCCTTTGTTTATTTCCTCATAGCGTAAGACCATGAACGCCACCATGGGTTGCAAGGAAATTTTGGTTTGGGCTGCATGATCAAGTAACCCCTAGAGATCTTCATATTTGCTGATGCTGGGGTTAAGATATGCATATGCTGCTTGATGAGCTTTCACAAGTGTCTCTGGAGTGTCTACTTTTTCTTTATTAAAAAGTATTCTTTCTTCCTGTTTAGTTTGATACCTTTAGGACCTTTCTTTTAATTCTTTGCACCCTTTTTTCTCACAAGCCTCTCATTTTTATTCTTGCCGTTCCTTCCCTTGAGATAATATATCAATTATAATCTCTTGTGTACCCAGTTTGGCAGAAGCAGCCCCTTCAGGCTCAGCCATAGAGAATTTCCTCCCTAACGACATGGAAGTTGTGTTGTTCCGAACCGTTAAAGGGTTAGTTCACCCAAAAATGAAAATTCTGTCATTCATTACTCACCCTCATGTCGTTCCACACCTCTTAGACCTTCGTTCATCTTCAGAACACAAATTAAGATATTTTTGATCAAATCCGATGGCTCAGAGAGGCCTCCATTGACGGCAACGCCACCCAAATTTTCAAGATCCATAAAGGTACTAAAGACGTCGTTAAAACAGTCGATGTGGCTACAGTGGTTCTACAATAATTTTATGAAGTGACGAGAATACTTTTTGTGAGTAAAAACAAAACAAAAATAATAACTTTATTCAGCAATATCTTCTCTTCCCTGTCATTATCCTTACGCGGGTTAACGCAGTAAGCACAGTGAAGGCTTCCGTGTTCTACGTCCGATCACCGGCTCATTATTGGCCAAAGCTGCACATGTGAACAGCGCGACGCATGCGTGTGATGCTGATGCAGGAGCCGTCCAATAATGAGCCGGCGTTCTGACGTAGAACCTGGAAGCGCTGGACGAAAACAACGTATGAGAATGACACAGAAGAGAAGAGCTTGTTGAATAGTCATTATTTTTGTTTTGTTTTTGCACACAAAAAGTATTCTTGTCGCTTCATAACATTATTTTTGAACCACTGTAGTCACGTTGACTGTTTTAAAAAAGTCTTTAGTACCTTTATGGATCTTGAGAGTTTGGGTGGCGTTGTTGTCAATGGAGGTCTCTCTGAGCCATCAAATTTGATCAAAAATATCTTAATTTGTGTTCTGAAGATGAACGAAGGTCTTAGGGGTGTGGAACGACATGAGGGTGAGTAATTAATTACATAATTTTAATTTTTGGGTGAACTAACCCTAAGTTATCTCTCTGTGTGTCCTGTCCACAGCATTCTCCACTGCTCCCATCATCAGATTGTGATTCTCCAAGTCTCTAGTGAGTCCCTGGAAGCAGAGTTCTCCCTCTTCTGAATGCACCCTGTGCTGAATGGAGACCGTTATGGAATTATGTTTGTGTCTTTATTATTCAATCAAACATTCTGTGTTTGAGAGTAAAGCTAATTATTTTGTAATTAAAAAATAAAAGATTGCAATAAAAAAGTATTCTTAAGGCTCAAAAATAAAGAAATTGAAAACAAAATTATATGCAGAGTGTATAAATCTTTGAAAATCTTAATTTTTCTTTGTGCACTTCAAACACTATTCATCTCGAAACCACAAATGTGGCTCTCTTTTCTGCCGTCTTTTTTTGGGGGTCTAAAACTTTTGTTTGCGAGTTGAAAAGTTTTGCTTGTGAGTGAAGCTGTGTCTCAGTGGGCGGTCTCTATACCCACCAGGATGAAAGGCCTTTTTCTATTGGTCACTCTCGATTGAAGTCACAGGTTGACCACGCCCACTACATTTCCCCAGAATCCCCGCTTCTGCCGCCGCAGTCTGACAGAAGAGCGAGCGAGGTTGTATCATGGCGAGCAACAGGTCATTTACTGGGTAAGATAACTAACTTATCTTAAACTCAGTGACAAGTGAACTTAATTATTCTCTCTTCTCATGCTCTCCCATCTAAATACGTAACGTTAGCTAAGCCCTTTGTAGATTTGATTAGCCAACAGTATTGCTAGCTGCCAGAGCCCCCAATAGTAAAGCGTCAGGCCAATATTTTCAGAGATTATAGATTTCTATAGCTCCAGTGAAGTAAGGTGAGTAACGCACATCAAATCACTAGCCCATTTGGCGGGTTATGATTCATAAATTATGACCGTATGCACACTCAAGTCTATTTGTGGCACGCAACAGCTGTAGTTTGCCTTTCAAAGTTTTCTAAAATACAACGATTTGGCACCGATGTCTGTACATTCTGACTTCACCCTAGTCTACAAGACTGTGTATCGTGCATTTTAATAACAGGTTTGTTTTGTACTATCTTTAAGACCTGTGCAATGACAATTGGAAAACGTATTACTTCAATAGTAACGATTGATATTCAGGACTTGTCGTACCACTGTAGCCTTGCAGAAACTTTGCTTTGAAGACCTTTTAATGAACTAACTTCCCCATTTCAATATGCCCCTGACTTCTAAGGGGTATTTTTATTTGTGACTACTCCCTACAGCCTAGGATTCTATCTGTAGAACATTACATTTTTCTTTTCTGTTTGCAGGAAGAAGTTTTGGTGTTGATAGAGGTAACTTCTTTAAGGCAAAACCTTAGACCTGATGCAACATCATCCCATGTTGCAATCCCCCTCAGGAGGCATTTGCATGAAGAAGATTTGGTGTTGATAGAGGTAACTTCTTTAAGGCAAAACCTTAGACCTGATGCAACATCATCCCATGTTGCAATCACCCTCAGGAGGTACACAAGCAAAAGCTAAACTGAACATTGTCAATTATCAATTCCTACTTTACAAAATTTGCCCTGCATACATTTTGTCTTTAATGTGTAGGCATTTGAAGCCCAGTGCCCAATATGCACAGGAACATTTCCAGTGTCAGAAGTAGAACTGCCATGCCAGCTTTTGTAGAGAAAGGTAATGGTAACAGTAACTCACATTGCAGCTTAAAAACACCTAAAAGGTGCTCTGATTTGGATCATATCTCATGGTAACCTACCTGACTATGTTCATTACATTGGTTCAAAACAGTACATTGCAAAGGTCTTAAAAAGATCATACAAAATTAATATATACATTTATACACACACAAAGTTGTTTGGAGTCTCTTCTGCTTATCAAAGCTGCATTAATTTGATCAAATATACAGTAAACAGTATTATTGTGAAATATTATACCATAACTGTTTTCTATTTGAATACATGTTAAAAATGTAATTTATTTATGTGATCAAAGCTGAATTTTCAGCATCATTACTCCAGTCTTCAGTGTCACATGATCATTCAGAAATCATTCTAATATGCTGATTTGTTGCTCAAAAAACATTTATTATTGTCAATGTTGAAAAAAAAAGTGGATTCTTTGATGAATATAAATTTATCTGAAGTAAAAATTGTTTATAACAGTATAAATGTCTTAATCCCTTTTGATCAATTTAATGCATCCTTGCTGAATAAAAGTATTAATTTATTTCCAAAAGAAAGTCTTACTGACCCCAAACTTTTGAACAGTAGTGTATATTATTACAAAATCTTTCTATTTCAGATAAATGCTGTTTGTTTGAACATTCTATTCTCAAAGAATCCTGAAAAAAAAAATTGTACACAACTGTTTTCAACATCGATAATAATGTTTGTTGAGCAAAAAAAATAAACATTGTTATATTGTGACACTTAAGACTGGAGTAATGATGCTGAAAATTTTGCTTTATTGTTTATATATATATATACATATATATATATATATATATTTTTTTTTTGTCATTTATCAGACGCTTTTATCTAAAGCGACTTACAAATGAGGACAACAGAAGCAATCAATTATTACTGTAAACTTTTTATTATTATTATTATTATTAATACTCTAAGAGGTAAGTTTTTCTTTATGCTAATTGCTGCACTATTCATATTTCCCGATGAGCTGATTCGCAACAGTTTATATATATATATATATAATTTTATGTATTTCTTTTTACAGTGAGGCGGATGTGATTCGTCATGCAGCAGCACAGATAAACACCACAGAGACATCTGAAATCTGTCACGAGATAGCACGTCTAAAGTTGTGGAAATGTCAAAAAACAGGAAGCCCTGTCAATCCCTTGAAAATCACCTTGGAGAGCCTGTAAAAATAAATTAATAAAATTATATGTATATAAAGCTAAAAACAATCAAGCAAACTGTTCAGCATCATTATTCCAGTGTTAAGTCTCCCTTTTAGATGCTTTTTAAGCTTTTTTTTGTTTGTTTTTTTAGGTGTTTTTAAGCTTCAATGTGAGTCAATATTACCATTACCTTTCTCCACAAAAGCTGGCATGGCAGTTCTACTTCTGACACTGGAAATGTTCCTGTGCATATTGGGCACTGGGCTTCAAGTGCCTACACATTAAAGACAAAATGTATGCAGGGCAAATTTTGTAAAGTAGGAATTGATAATTGACAATGTTCAGTTTAGCTTTTGCTTGTGTACCTCCTGAGGGTGATTGCAACATGGGATGATGTTACATTAAAGACAAAAATGTATGCCGGGCAAATTTTGTAAAATAGGAATTGATAATTGACAATGTTCAATTTAGCTTTTGTTTGTGTACCTCCTGAGGGTGATTGCAACATGGGATGATGTTGCATCAGGTCTAAGGTTTTGCCTTAAAGAAGTTACCTCTATCAACACCAAATCTTCATCCTGCAAACAGAAAAGAAAAATGTAATGTTCTACTGATAGAATTCTAAGCTGTAGGGAGTAGTCACCAATATAAACACCCCTTAGAAGTCAGGGGCATATTGAAATGTGGAAGTTAGTTCATTAAAAGGTCTTCACAGCAAAGTTTCTGCAAGGCTACAGTGGTACGACAAGTCCTGAATATCAATCGTTACTATTGAAGTAATAAGTTTTGCAATTGTCATTCAATGAATCATAACCCGCCAAATGGGCTAGTGATTTGATGTGCGTTACTCACCTTACTTCACTGGAGCTATAGAAATCTATAATCTCTAAAAATATTGACTTGACGCTTTACTATTGGGGGCTCTGGCAGCTAGCTATATTGTTGGCTAATCAAATCTACAACGGGCTTAGCTAACGTTATGTATTTAGATGGGAGAGCATGAGAGGAGAGAATAATTAAGTTCACTTGTCACTGAGTTTAAGATGTTAAGTTAGTTATCTTACCCAGTAAACGACCTGTTGCTCGCCATGATACAACCTCGCTCGCTCTTCTGTCAGACTGCGGCGGCAGAAGCGGGGATTCTGGGGAAATGTAGTGGGCGTGGTCAACCTGTGACTTCAATCGAGAGTGACCAATAGAAAAAGGCCTTTCATCCTGGTGGATAGAGACCGCCCACTGAGACACAGCTTCACTAAAACTTTTCAAACAAAAGTTTTAGACCCGCAAAAAAAGACGGCAGAAAAGAGAGCCACATTTGTGGTTTGTGGTTTCAAAGTGTTTGAAGTGCACAAAGAAAAATATGATTTTTCAAAGATTTACACGCACTGCAAATTATTTTGTTTTCAATTTCTTTATTTTTGAGCCTTAAGAAGACTTTTTTTTGCAATCTTTTATTTTTTAATTACAAAATAATTAGCTTTACTCTCAAACACAGAATGTTTGATTGAATAATAAAGACACAAAAATAACTCCATAGAGCATTTTCAGAGCACACCACGATTTTGCAAAAACACAGTCCAACAAAGACAAGAAGGCAGACCACTCCATCTGATCCATCTGACGTTTAGAATCACCAGCTGCACTTGCCATTTTCAGAAGACTCTAATAACCAGACACACAGCTGTATTTGACTCTCTTTATGTATCCTAGGAAATCACCTTAGAAGCACTTTTAGGAAAAACAAATGTGCTGTGCCAAAGGAGTCTCTTATCTTTCAGTTAAAATATGAATATATATATATATATATATATATATATATACAGTATATATATATATATA